CGCGTGGTGCGCTTCCCCGACCCCCGCCCGCGACGTGCCGAGGCGTCCTGACCCCCCGCCGCACCCCGGCTGTCCACCGCGTGGCGCTCCTCCAGCGCGTCCAGTAATCCCAGGAGGGACTCACAGCGCCCTCCCGCCCCAGGGGTGATCAGATGCCTCCCTACTCCTCACTCCTGCCACGGATCCACCTGCCCACCCTAATGTGTGGTGCTGGCTCTCCCAGGAGCCCTGCCTCTCACCTTCTCATCCCCAAGAATAACCATTTTTTAGTTTACTCCTCCCTGTGCATGTGGGGCGGACCTCGTCCCACGTCGGCCCTAACGCTGTGCAGCCCAGCGGTCCCCATGTGCCCCGCCTGCCCACCTGCCCCATGTCAACCCCTTGTCTTGTCCCCTACAGTCCTCGGTCCACATCCAAAACCTACCTGTGGTCGCCCCTGCCCACCCCCAGGAGGACCCCGTCCTCTCCCACGTGAGGCCATGCCCACTGAGACCAGGCCGCCACCTGCCTCTCCGCATCTGATGTCCCAAACGCTACCGCTCAGCCCACCTGCCGCCATCACCAGCCTCTACCAGGGCTCTTCTCCCTCCCTTCTGAAGTCTGTCCACACCCCATTTCCTATCCTAGGAATTTGACCCCCAGCAAGAGCGAGACTTTTACAGAACTCTCTCCTTGTTGAAGAAGAAGGACCCCCGCATTTATCAGAAAGATGCCACCTTCTACAAAAGAACAGGTCTGAGCCTCCTCTTCCTCAATCTGTCTATTGGATCAATGGTTGTGCCTATTCCATAAATCCCTTTTGTATCACACAAGTGCTTAGCAGGGGTGGGGTGATAACACCTTTGTGCTTGGTGCTGTTCAAAGCCTGAATTGCTGACTAATCCTCCAGCCCACCAGGGGGTGCAGCGAGTATGATACAGGTAAAATATCTAAAATCATAAAATCAGCAATCCTCCAAAATCCGCCACTTTTTGAGCACTGACCACCCCACCCATGGGGCGTGCCACGAGTGGAAAATTCCACACCTGACCTCCTGTGATGGGTTGCAGTCCAAACACTGCAATACAAAAATATTGCATACAGGACTAGCGTGGTGGTTAAGGTGCTAGATCCTACATGACTGACTCCGGGGTTTGAGTCCCAGACCCAGTGGTTTGAAAAACATGGGCGCATGTGCGTGCATACCCAAACTCCTGAGGGAGGAACGGGATTGTGGCATAGCCATTACCCCCTGGAGGGTGATATATATATATATATTTTTTTTACTATCACTCTCTGTCTAGCTCTGGTACCACGCGCCCTATAGCAAAAAAATACATAAATAAATTTAAAATGGTATACAGCTACTTTCAGGGTAGGTGTACATGAGACATGAATGACTTTTGTGTTAGACTTGGGTCTTCTTTTCTTTTTTTAAGAGATTTTTCTGCTATTGGGTACATGCCGGTAAGACAGACAGAAAGTGAGAAGTCACCTCCCAGAAAGGATGGCTACACTCCAATGCCTTTTCTATTGTCTTGAGATTTTGAGCATGTATGCACACATGCCTGGTACGTTTCAAACTGCCGGGTATGGGACTTGAACTGCAGTTGACTGTGGGAATCCAGCGACGTAACCATTACACCATCTGCTGGTCCCAGTGGGTCCTATTTAGATTATTATATATGAGGGGGTTCTTCAAAATGTAACAGGACCGGGCATATTGTGAAAAATGCATGGATTTCAAATTGTTTTTGCACTGAAGTAAACTTGGATTTTATTTTTCCATTTTATTTTTCCACTTTTTTCTTTTCTTGGCCAGAGGGTATGTACAATTGCCTAAGAGAGAGACAGAGTGCACAGAGAGAGAGAGAACCTGAGGAAGCGCCACGTCAGGGCCAGCAGGTGGCGTGATGACTAAGGCACTGAATTCCCACATGGCTGACCACAGTTCGAGTCCTGGGCTTGGAGGCTTGCTTTCTCACTCCCCTCCCCCTCTGATCAAATTTAAAATAATAATAATAATGATTCAAATAATAATTTTTTTGGAGAGGTTTTACTATAGGGCACATGCGCTCGCCAGAAAGACAGAGAGAGAAAGCAAGAAATCATCCCCAGGGGGGATGGCCACACCACAATCCCTTCTCCTCCATTCTCCTCTCGGGATCTTGGGCACGCACGCACACGCACCTGGCGGAAGTTTAAGCCACCAGGTGCAGGACTCAAACCATGGTCGACTACATGGGAGTCCAGCGAGATAGCCATTATGCCAACTGCTGGTCCCAGTAAAATAATTTTTTTTTTTTAGAGAGGTTTTTGCTATAGGGCACATGTGCTCGCCAGAGAGACAGAGAGACAGAGAGACAGAAAGCGAGAAATCACTCCCCAGGGCAATGGCCTTGCCATAATTCCTTCTCCTCTATTCTCCTCTCGGGATCTTGTGCACGCACGCACGTGTGCCGGCATAAGTTTTAAGCCACCAGGTCCGGGACTCGAACCGCGGTTGACTACGTGGGAGTCCACTGACATAGCCATTATGCTAACTATATGTGCATGCAGAAGAGGGAAAAAGAAGGAGAAAGAAAAAGCACTTCTTCATGGGTAATAGCCATGATGCCATCCCTTCTCCATTTCTCCAATAATTATTTATTTGATTTTTTAATGATTCATTTATTTTAATTTGAGCAGAGAGAGAGAGAAAGTGAGAAAGCAAGCCACCAGGTCTGGGACTCAAACCATGGTTGGCCATGGGGGCATGTCTAGCACCTTAACCACCACGCCACCTGCTGGTCCCTGAAGTTTTTATTTTTATTATTATTATTGTTATTATTTAGATATTTCACCATAGGGCAAATGTGCTTGCCAGAGAGAGACAGACAGAGACAGAGAGGGAAACTGAGAACTCAGCCCCCAGGGGGGATGGTCACTCCACTACCCACTTTCTTCCCTTCTCCTCCTAGGATTTTGGTACATGTGCCTGACATGATTTTCAGGCCCCTGGGTCTGGGTCTCAAACCCATGGCATTGGCCATGTGAGATCCAGCACCTTAAGAAGGTTTCTGAAATCGCCTGCTAATACTTGCATTGTTTTCCCAAAATCCGAAAAAAGTTCTGAAATCCAAAACCCCTGTGGTCCCAGGCACTTTGGATAAGGGGTTCTCATACAGTCCCTGCTCTGTCACTGGAGGGTGGGGGATCGGGGACTTGAGAGCCAGCCCTGCCTGACCTTGGCCTTGCCACCATGGGGGCTTCTACCAGGGAACAAGGGGAGTGTGGGTGACAGCAGGTCTCTCCTGGTGGCCCACAGTGTCATCGTCGGAGAGCGAGGAGGAGACAGCCGCTTCCGAGGAGAAAAAGAAGAAGAAGGAGCGGCCCATGTATTTAAAGAACTATGAGCGGAAGGTCATCTTGGAGAAGGAAGGGTGAGCAGAAAGCCTGTGCCCAGGAGGCCAGCAGGTGGCGTGGTGGTTAAGGGTAGTGGACTCCCACGTGGCTGACCGTGGTTCGAGTCCCGGACCTGGCAGCTTGCTTTCTCATTTTTTCTCTCTCTCTCTCTCTGTCCCTTTGTGGTCAAATTTAAATAAATAAATACAGTTAAATAAAATAATTCTTTAAAAGGAAATAAGCAAAAGAAAGTCTGTGCTGCAGCCCCTGGCCCCCAGTTTTATTGGGACAGGGGGGAGGTTTAGGGCAGAGCTGGTGAGTCAACAGAATCGAGGGCCCCTCTGGCAGCAGGAGCCTCGCCACACACCCTCAGCTGCTGCTAAGAAAGAGCTCCCCACCCACTGGGGCCAGGCGGGGTGCAGAGAACGTGTACTGAAGCCGCTGTCCTGCCTATACAGCAAATATGTCGACGAGGAGGACTCAGACGGGGAAACCTCCCATGGGAGGCTCCAGGTAGGCGGGGTGCAGGCTGGGTGGGGGCCGAGGGGCCCAGGGCTGGCCTGAGCCCCCGTCACCCTGTCCTCTGCAGCCACTCTCGTCGCAGAGTTACGTGGAAGAACAGAACCAGCTCAAGGAAAGGTGAGCCTAGGCTCAGGCCACTGGGGGTCGGGGGCGTTGGGAAGGGTCTGGGTCCAAGTCGAGCTCTGTCAGTTGGCCTGGACGTGCCTCAGTTTCCCCATCTGTTAAATGGGGCTGATAATGTCAAGGCTCTGCTCCGAGCTTGTCCGGAGAGCTCAAGGCTTACGAAACCGAGTGACTCTCGGGGCGGTGGGCTCACGTGGGCTGGTCCGCCTTGACCCACGTCTTACTTTCTCACGTGGACAGCTTCCGGGCATTCGTAGAGGACAGCGAGGACGAGGACAGTGCCGGGGAAGGTGGCTCCGGGCTACTGCAGAAACGAGCCAAGACCAGGGACGAGAAGGTGGGTGGGGGCCCGTCTGGGCTACTGGGGCCGGGAGAGGCGCGGCTGGGGCCCCACAGACCCTCAGCACGGGACTCCTACAGGCCCAGGAGGAGGCCGACTACGTGGAGTGGCTCAAGGGACAGAAGGAGATCCAGAACCCCGAGTCCCTGAAGGAACTGGTGAGTCATGGATAGTCTAAACGGCCTCTTCTGCTTCCATCCAACCTTTTTAAATTTTGCTCCAGGGGAAGGCCAGCATGTGGCATGGTAGTTGAGACGCTGGACTTTCACATGGCTGACCGCAGTTTGAGTCCCGGGCCTGGCGGCTTTCTTTCTTACTTTCCCTCTCTCTCTGTCCTCTGTTTCTCTCTCTGGTGAGTGTGTGTGGCCTATAGCAAATTAGAAAAATAATAATAAGGGGCCAGCAGGTGGCGTGGTGGTTAAGGGTGGTGGACTCCCACATGGCCGACCACGGTTCAAATCCCAGACCTGGTGACTTTCTTTCTCGTTTTCCCTCTCCCTCTTTCTCTCTCACTCTGTCCCTCTCCGGCAAAACTGAAATGAATAGATAAATAAAATAAAAATAAAGTTAAATAAAATAATTATTTTCAAATAATAATAATAATAAATAATTCTATAACAACAACAAAAAAAAACAAAACAATTTTATCCTGAGTGTATGCACTCACTAGAAACAGAGAGTGAAGGAGAAAGCAACCCACCAGGGGAACGTGGCCGTGGCGCAATCTCTTCTCCCCTATTCCTCCTGTCGGGATTTTGGGTGTGCACACACGTGTCCAGTGTGTTCTTCCAGCCGCCTGGGCCAGGATTCAAACCGCAGGGTCAGCCATGTTGGATCTGGTTTCCTTAACCATGGGCCCAGCCTCCAACCTCTTTCCAGAAAGCCACCATTGAGAAGGTAGCCAAGAGTGTGTTATGCTGAAGATGAGCTGTCCCATCTCTGAGCTTCGGTTTCTTTCTTTCTTTTTTTTTTTCGCTATAGGGCATGCACACTCGCCAGACAGACAGAGAGAGACATACAGACAGAAAGCAAGAAATCACCCCCCAGGGGGGATGGTCACGCCGCAATCCCTTCTCCTCCATTCTCCTCTCGGGATCTTGGGCTCACACGTACACGTGCCCGGCATGAGTTTTAAGCCACCGGGTCCAGGACATGAACCGCGGTCGACTACATGGGAGTCCAGCGACATAGCCATTACGCTAACTGCTGGTTCCCTGAGCCTCGGTTTCTACATCTGTGAAATGGGCCCGATCCCACTTGCTCGATAGGCTGACTGTAAAGCACCAGTTACCTGGGTCCATGTCCACCCTCCTTGCCTGATCTCCTCTTTTTTTTTTTTTTGGAGAGATTTTCACTGTAGGGCGCGTGCGCTCGCCAGACAGAGACATAGAGACAGAAAGTGAGAAATCACCCCCCCAGGGGGGATGGTCACGCCGCAATCCCTTCTCCTCCATTCTCCTCTCGGGATCTTGGGCACGCACGCACACGCGCCCGGCGTGAGTTTTAAGCCACCGGGTCCGGGACGTGAACCGCGGTCGACTACGTGGGAGTCCAGCGACATAGCCATTACGCTAACTGCTGGTTCCCCTCTTTTCTTAAATAATTATTTTAACTTATTTATTTATTTTAATTTGACCAGAGAGGGATAGAGTGAGAAAATGAGAAAGCAAGCCACTAGGTCCAGGACTCGAACCATGGTCAGTCATGTGGGAGTCCAGGGCCCTTAACCACCACATGATTCCCCATTTTGTGACTTGTTCCCGTGACCCCCTCCTCACTCCCCAGACCCATCTCAAGGAATACTGGAACAACCCAGAGCTGGATGAAGGAGAGCGATTCCTGCGGGATTATATTCTCAACAAACGCTACGAGGAGGAGGCGGATGAGGACGAGGAGGAGGAGGAGGAAGAAGAGGAGGAAGGGTGAGTGGCCACGGCTCCCCAGGGCCACATCCTGTTTCCTGAGATAGTTTGCACTGGCCCCAAGCGAAGGGTTTGTTTATTTATTGTTCGTTTTTGGTATAGAGTACATGCACTCACCAGAGAGACAAGAGAGACAGAGACAGGGAAAGTGAGAACTCACTCCCCAGGTGCAACTCCCAGCTGCCAGGGCCAGGACTTGAACTGTGAAGCTGGCGATGTGCTTTCCAGCACTTTAACCTGCACACCACCTACTGGCCCTTATTTATTTATGTAGTGAAGAGAGAAAGAGAAAAGAAAAGTACAGAGGAAGAGAGAGAGATAGGTCCCCCCCCAATTTTGCCATAGCGGGAGCGAGATAGAGAAGGAAAGTGAAAATCAACCCCAAGAGGGGATGGCCATGCTGCAATCCCTTCTCTTCTATTCTCCTGGGATTTTGGGCGTGCAGGCACAGAAGCCTGGCATGAGTTTCAAGCTGCCGACCCGGGACTTGAACCATCGTCGACCGTGTGGGAATCTAGTGCCTTAACCACTCTGCCATCAGTTAGTCCCACATGGATTTTTTTTTTTTTTAAAGAAAGATGTTTGCTATACGTGGTGTGTGCTTGCCAGAGAGACAGAGACAGAAAGTGAGAAATCACCCCCCAGGGGGGAGGCCACGCAGCAATCCCTTCTCCTCCATTCTCCTCTCGAGATCTTGGGCACGCACACACACGCGCATGGTGTGAGTTTAAGCCACCGGGTCCAGGCCTTGAACCGCAGTTGTCTACATGGGAGTCCAGCAACATAGTCATTATGACAATTGCTGGTCCCTTAAATGGTTTCTTTTTATCTTATTATTTTTTTAATTATTATTTAGCTTTATTTATTTGTTTACTTTGACCAGAGAGCAACAGAGTAGAGAGAGAGAGAGAAAGTGAGAAAGCAAACAGCCAGGGCCAGGACTCGAACTGCCGCCTGCCCTGTGGGAGTCCAGCACCTTTAAATATCGCACCACTTGCCAACCTGTAAATAGTTTATGTGTGTGTGTGTGTGTGTGTGTGTGTGTTTCACACCGAGGGCAGCAGTCAATATCGCACCACTTGCCAACCTGTAAATAGTTTATGTGTGTGTGTGTGTGTGTGTGTGTTTCACACCGAGGGCAGCAGTCAGGCCTCAGTGAGGAACCGCCTTGGGGTGTGCTCTCTGCATCCAAATCGAACCCCAGTCCTGCCCCTAGACTCGGTGCCTCAGTTTCCTTCTCTGTAAGATGGGGGTTCTGGCAGCCCACACCTTGGAGGGTCCTTGTGAGCGTGGACCCAGGTGGTCTGTGTGGCACCCAGACATGCAGGAGAGGGGTGGCCCAAACTTGCTGGCTGCCCTGCCAGCCTCACCCCCTGGTCCCTCAGGGTCCCTGGCCCCCCAGTCCAGCTGGTGGTAGACGACTCCTCGGACGAGGGGGAGCTGTTTCTGAAGAAGCAGGAGGACTTTGAGCACAAGTACAACTTCCGCTTCGAGGAGCCGGACTCGGCCTCGGTGCGTGGCCAGGGAAGGGGAGGGCAGGGAGGGCAGGGGCGGACCTGGCCCCGGGTGCAGGCTCGGCGCGTCCGAATCACCCCCACCCTCTCTGCGGCCGCAGGTCAAGACCTACCCGCGTAGCATCGCGTCCTCCGTGCGGCGCAAGGACGAGCGCAGGAAAGAGAAGCGGGAAGAGACTCGGGAGCGAAAGCGGAGGGTGAGTGTGGGGGCGGCCGGCTAGGGGAGGACCCCAGCCTGCAGGGGACACCCACACCCTCCCGGTGCCCCCGCCTGCCGCCCCCAGGAGAAGGCCAAGAAGCGGGAGGAGCTGAAGCAGCTGAAAAACCTGAAGAGGAGGGAGATCCTGGCCAAGCTGGAGAAACTGAGGCAGGTCACCGGCAACGACACGCTGGGCTTGGAGGAGGGGGACCTGGAGGATGACTTCGACCCCACCCGGCACGACCAGCTCATGCAGGTGGGGCCCCTTCTCCCACTCAGCCACCAGGAAACGTGGCTCTGCACTCCGGGGTCATCTGACGGTGTGGCCTCGGGACGTGACATGGCCTCTCTGAACCTTTTTTTTTTTTTTTGAGAGATTTTCACTGTAGAGCGCGTGCGCTCGCCAGACAGACAGAGAGACATAGAGACAGAAAGCGAGAAATCACCCCCCAGGGGGGATGGTCACGCCGCAATCCCTTCTCCTCCATTCTCCTCTCGGGATCTTGGGCACGCACGCACACGCGCCCTGCGTGAGTTTTAAGCCACCAGGTCCGGGACATGAACCGCGGTCGAATACGTGGGAGTCCAGTGACATAGCCATTACGCTAACTGCTGGTTCCCGCCTCTCTGAACCTTTTCCTCTGTCTGTGAAAAGGGTCTCCCTGGATCACGTTCCTCGGGGCTGTAGTAGTATTTTTACTTATTTATCTTGTAAGGAATTTTTTAAAATTCTGTTTGTTATTACCATTTTTAATTTGACCAGAGAGAATCAGAGAGAGAGAGAGAGAGAAAGGGAAAGCGAGAAAGCAAGCCATCAGTCATGTTATAATCCCTTCTTTCTCTCTCCCTCTTTTTGTAATTTTGGGCATATATGTGAACACACATACCTGGCATGTTTTTCACTTTTCTTCTCACTGTTTCTCTGTTTCTCTCTGGTGAGCACACATGCTCTATGACAATTAAAAAAAAAAAAAAAAACACAC